TGACGATGCAGAACACATAACAAGAGGAAGTCATTCGGGAGAAGTTGGCTCCATGACAAACATGGGTGCACAGAGGAATGGCCGTGCTGGGGGGATGGTCACTGTTAAGTGTATTAGAGTCTCTCTCCTCCCGATGTGGTCCCTGGACCAGCAGCAGCGGCTCCAGCTGTGAGCTTGTTAGAAATGGAAATGCAGAGCCTGGGGTCCCACTTCAGACCTACCCCTACTTCAGACCTACCGGCTCACAAATTACGTTTTAAACAAGATCCCCGGGTGATTTAGACGCACATTTTACAATTTGAGAAGTACTGTGTTCAGATTTTCTAGGTGGGGAGCCCAGAAAAATACTAGTTCTGCTTTGTTAATGGTCATCTGGGTACAAAGGTGTACATGTGTGTACACAGATGTGACATAAATGACCTTGTGGCCCTAATACTACTCTCTTCACATATCATTTTGGGCTACACTCCACCAGCTCAGGAAATGTCTCGCAGCTCCTGCAGGGCATTCTGGAGTCATGAAACTTGTTCTGGAGTCTCTTCCTGATATGCTCTTGTACCAGGTTAGCACCTCCGATGCTTGTCTGCTCCACACAATCCTACCTTCGCATCTCCACAGCCACGGGGTAGTCCCCTTCCACCAGTGTCCCACAAGCCCCACGGCCCTCCAAAGTTCTGTTGGTTGGGAGTAGGGTTTAATAGCAAGCACCCACTTCCCAAGCTACACGCCCAGCTAGAAGCTTCTGGCCAGGCAAGGTGAGTCAGCAAGAAAGTGGTGCATTTTCTTTGACCTTTCTGGAAGGCTTGGGAGAAGTAACAGCTCTTGGTTGGGTCCCAACAGCAGAAAAGGAGGGTTCTGCCCAGACACTTCTGGGCACGCTTGTTCGGGGCTAGGCTGATCCACAAAGCCCGCACTGGGCAATGTCCCCACCACGCTCCTTAGGCTTCAGGTAAAGCCTCTTGTCATGAAAGGAATAAAAAATGAGGAGCTGGTAGAGCGTAAATCTCAACTTTAGTAACCTCATGGGTCTCATACTTATGTGCCCTTCTTTCCTTGGTTTTGACTTTCTGGCCTTGTATGACCATAATAATGATAGTGGGTATGAATTTTAGTCCAAGTTAGTTTCAGGTTGCAAGCTGCTTTGTTATTATTTCTCCCTGGCAAATGCCTTCAGCTTCCTTGCTTTTCTCTCCTCCGTCAATTACCTTGGCAGAAAATCATGCAACCAGACTGACTAACGGTTGTATCTCATCACAAACAATCCGAAGAGGCACAGTCAGTGCTGCCAGCAACCCCAGACATTCTGCAAGCTGTTTGCTTTCTCACACGTGATAACAATTTTACACTTTCTTTTTGTTCTCAAACCTCAGCCCTCACCAGATGATTTTCCCTTATTGAGAAGTAGAAGCCATTAGACCAGAGATCTTGTCTTCTCATGGTCAAAGTCACAAACTTATCTGTATCTGCACCATTTTCTCTTTCCTTCCTGGGATGGTGGAGGGAGAGTCTCTCCTCTCACCAAAGGTTAATGCACTTGGGTTGCATCTCCTCTAACCTTCTGAGGCTACATGGGTTCTTTCTTTCCTCCTGCACAATCAACGAGAATGCTTTCCACTGCAAACACAAAAACAAAAATCACGTCTAGACTAAAGGTTCCCAAATTTATGTCTCTTGCCCATGCTCTGGAGCAAGACACTGGAGTGGGTATTATGCTAACTAGTAGGTTCACATGTCCTTAAGCTTCCCATGTGAAAACTTTACCATAGAGAACGTTTCTGAAATGACCGTTTATCTAGATTATTTAGGTGAAATGTAAATAGAAGTCAGCCTTCACATTGGAGATCTTTTTTTGCAAATGTTTTTCCTCCCTTTAAAAACAGAGAGCCAAATGCCAGTGTTTAAATTGTATGTTTGGCTTAAAATCCTCTTAACCACCATCCTGCTATGAACCATGCCAGAGGAGTGGGCACTGGAGCTATGTTTAACTTTCCGCTTTTGCCTATGAAACCAATCAGGTAGATTTAGTTTCCATACTCAGAAGCTTGGCTTTAAAAAAGTGCTTCATTTATGAATTTGAAAGAAAAGCTAAGAAAAATAGAAACCATTGTAAACTGTGGAATTCAGCCTTTGAAAGACTGTGCAGGAATGGGTAGCACTCTCGGGTGGACAATTCTGGAACTGGCATAGTTTCTTTTGGGTACATTGCAACCAGTTGCAAAGATACTGGGCCAGGATGAGTTCTCTCCAAAATCTCTGCTCTGCAAGATTTTGTGTGTCTCTCTGGTGAGCCAGCAGGTAGGCAGCTGGCTTCTGTCTCCCTGATGACCTAGCAGGTCCAGGGTATAAACCCACTTGGAGTGGATTGTGTGAGTTGTGATTTTTCTGCTTGCTCTAAATAAGAATGCAAGAAGAGAGGGAGAATTGTGGAACGAGTTTCTCTGGGGAAGTCACTGAGTGGGCTGAACACTAAGGAGTAAGTGAATGTGCCTGGCCGGGCGTGGCTCAGTGGTTGAGCGTCGACCTGGGATCCAGGCGATCAGGGTTCGATTCCTGGTCGGGGCACATGCCCGGGTTGCAGGATCCATCCCCGGTTGGGGGGTGCAAGAGGCAGCCCATCGATGACTCTCATCATTGATGTTTTTCTCTCTCTCTCTCCCTCTCCTTTCCTCTCTCTGAAATCAATATATATTTTTTTAAAAAAAGAGTAAGTAAATGTGAAAAAAGCTGAAACAGACTCAGAATCCCCCCACCCTGTTCTTCAAGTGGATGCTGATAGAAGAGAGAGGAGGCAAATATTAACTCTTTAAAAAAAAAAAAGTAGGTATATGTTAACAAAGCAGAAGAGAGGTTCTATCACAAAAATCTGACAAAATTTAAAACTGGGATTGGCAATGAAATTTGTAGTATTCCTACTACATAAGCCACCTCACTCATATGCAGGCCTCTGGGCTAGCCGATACGACCAAAAGGAAGTTTTGAGCAATGCTGGTTTTGAGTTAGCTGCCTCTAGTTTTATATTATTATTTAATTTTTAAGAAAAGATTTTGTAGTACCAAGTCCTTTCCTCATAAGTATAAAGAACTTTAAAATACTGTAATATCCCAAATGGTTGTTTTTCTTTTTCTTTTAAAAAAAATTTTTTTACACATATCTTTATTGATTTCAGAGAGAGGAAAGGAGGGGGAGACAGAGATAGAAACCTCAATGATGAGAGAGTCATTGATTGGCTGCCAAGCCCGCAACCCCGGAATGTGCCCTGACCCGGAATTGAACCCTGATCTCCTGGGTCCTAGGTCAACGCTCAACCACTGAGCCATGCCCGGCCGGGCTGGAATGGTTGTTTTTCAATGACTGATTTATGGAAGAGTAGGTAAAACTTGTGCTCACATAATACAAATTAACGTTTAGGCCAAGCAAGTCAATAAAAGTATGAAGCATACGAATTTGAATGAAAAGACCTTGTATCCAGAAATTATAACAAGAGGTCTTCTCTCGTTTTAGGTAAATGGAGATTACAGATATAGCCACACTGGTCTATGACTTTTGATCAGACCAATCAGTAGTCATCCAGCACAGTAATACAAATGTCAGCTATCTAGGAGTATGAATTATGACAACCCTACTGCTATGATTGGACAGTATAGATCCATTAGGCTAAAATTTATGGTTAGAGCAGTTCTTATCTTTACGGTTTTGTCACTGGATATGTAGACAAAGTCAAGCAAGTCTAATTTTTTTCACTCAGATTATTCACCTGGTGGGTTAGTCAACTTATTCATTAGTCAGAAAACATTTTTTAAGTGCCAATTATGTACAAGGCATCATGGGAACATAAAGAATTACATGGCATGGCCTTAATTTTTTTTAGACTTTTTTCTTTTATTTAGAGTTTTAAGTTGCAGCAAAATGGAGGGGAAGGTGCAGAGATTTCCCATGTGCCCCTTTCCCTGACGCGCGTACCTTCCCCCACTGTCAACATCCCCGCCAGAGTGGGACATTTGTCACAATTGATGAACCTACTTTGACATATCACAGTCACCCCAAGCCCATGGTTTACATCATGGTCCATTCTTGGTGTTGCACATTCTATTTGTTTGGATAAATGTGTAACGGCATGTCTCCATCAGTATAGTATCACACAGAGTATTTTCACTGCTCTAAAAATTCTCCATGCTCTGCTCATTCATCCCTCCCTCCTCCCAACTCCTGGCAACCACAGGTCTTTTTTCTGTGCCCATAGTTTTTTCTAGAATGTCATGTATTTGGAATCCTACAGCATGTAGCCCTTTCATAGTCCCTTCTTTCCCTTAGTAATATCCTTTAATGTTCCTTCATGTCTTTTCATGGCTTGGTGACTCATTTCTTTTTAGTGCTGAATAATACTTCACTGCCTGGGTGTACCACAGTTTATCCATTCGCCTCTAAAGGACAACTTGGTGCTTCCAAGGCCTGGCAGTTTTGAATAAAGCTGCTGTAAACGTCCATGTGCGGGTTTTAGTGTGGTAATACATGTTCATCTCCTTTGGGTAACTACCAAGGAGTGCAATGGCCAGATCATATGGTAGGAGTATGTTTAGTTTTATAAGAAAATGCCAAACTGGGGGATAAACGGTGATGGCAGGAGACTTGACTTGGGGCGGAGAACACACAATATACAGAGGCTGTATTATAGAACTGTACACTTCAAACTTATATATACTTTTATTAACCAATGTCACCCCAATAATTCAATAAAAAGAAAAAAATGCCAAACGGTCTTCCAAAGTGGCTGCACCATTCTGCATTCCCACCAGCAGTGAGTGAGAGTTCCTGCCGCTCCACATCCTCTCCAGTGTTGGGTGGTGTTGGAGTTCTGGATTCTGGCCACTCTGACAGGTGTGTAGTGATATCTCATTGTTGTCTTGATTTGCATTTCCCTGAGGACAGATCATCTGAAGCATCTTTTCATATGCTTATCTGCCATCTGTATATCTTCTTTGGTGAGGTATCTGTTAGGGTCCTTTAAAAGGCCTACCTTTTAATCCAGTTATTTGAGTTTTAAGAGTTCTTTGTACAGTCCTTTGGGTGACAGTCCTTTACCATATCGATGTGTCTTTTGCATATGTTTTCTTCCATTTTATGACTTGTCTTCCCATTCTCTTGACATTGTCTTTTGCAGAAGTTTTTGAATTTTAATGAAGTCCCGCTTATCAATTATTTCTTTGATGGATGGTGCCTTTCGTGTTGTATCTTTGAAGTCACTGCCATACTCAGGTAGGTCGGATTCGTTTCCAAACTGTAATTTTATTTTTCTAAATATATGTTCTTTGAAGCATTTCTTTCTCTAATTTGAAGGGAAATATTTTAATTTTGAGACTTCTCACAACGCGTGTGAATTGTGAGTGTACTTGCAAATTTGCAAATGTCATTATTAATAGAGACTTCTATTTTGGACTAAGTATGTGTGCTTGGTCTGTGACAAGTGAACATCAAATGAAATAAAGTTTATGAAAGTTTCAAGTCCATGTTGACACTAGGAAATTAATCATATTCCATATGACTTTCCAGTGGTGTTTATCAAGACTTAGAAATCCCATAGAGATCAATCCCAATGACCAGAATTCTAAATATAGTTGTGGTCAAGTTGCTAATCACTCAATTCTGTGAGCCTATGAGTTGACTAACTCATTGAAGTCGTTTGGCTAAAGTTTATCTGTAAAGAGATCATTGTTTACTATGCTTATTATTTCTCCTTGTATATACCATATGACGAAATTCAAAGTACAAATAGATAAGGAATGGAATGTAGAGGCTGCACCTCAAAATTTCATCTGGATCAGCTAATCTTGAACTTTGGGCTAAAATAAATAGAGGTAAAGGCCAGAGTGTAGGTAATAAGAATTTGTTGGCTTAAGACGTTAGTGTACTCAAAAGGAAATCCTGTACCCAGTGAGCATCCGTTTACTACTTCTTTGGCTCTGAGGAGAGAGTGGGGTTGTCACAGGAGCATGATGCCTGCGGCTGTGGTGAAGGAGCTGTCCTCTGCTCAGGGCTAACAGCTGCCACCAACGTGGGAACAGTGGCACTGACTGGAGCTGTAGTAGTTTCCTAGGGCTGCCATAACAAATGACCACAAACTGGATGGCTTAAAACCACAGAAATAAGTATTTTCTCACAGTTCTGGAGGTTAAAGTCTGAAATCAAGGTGTCGGCAGGGTTGGTACCTTCTGGGGCCTCTGTGTGAGCATTTGTCCCATGCTTCTCTCCTAACTTCTGGTGGTTGCTGGCAGTCCTTGGTGTTCCCTGGCTTGTGGTAGCAGAACTCCGATTTCTGCCTCCGTCTTCACAGGGTTGTCTTCCCTGTGTGTGCGTCCCTGTTTTCACACAAGACATGAGCCATTGGATTAGGACCCACCCTTTTCAAGTGTGACTTCATTTTAATTAATTACATCTGCAAAGACCCTATTTCCAAATAAGGTCCCATTCACAGGCAGTGGAGGTTAGGACTTGAGCATACCTTTTTGGGGAGACATAAATCAACCCACAGTGTGTTGAATTATGAGCCATCACCAGTGTGTAGGCAAAGAAACTGACACCCAACAGGGAACTCTGCACATGGATCTATTTACTTGGAGGGGGAAAAAAAAAATCTTTTTCTCCTCCAGCCAGGCAGTGTGCCTCAAGCACCCCCTACTGGCAGAGTTTAACATCTAGCCAGGCAATGGGGCAATTGACCCTGACTCTAATAATTTCAGGTTAGGTGACTCTCCTGTGTGTTTCCATTAATTCTCTCTCTCTCTTTCATACACACACACACACACACACACACACACACACACATATACATAAAATGATAACTTATATAATATATAGTGTATGGTATATGCTATATAATCTTATATATATCTTTACCTTGTTTCATTTTTTCTTTTAAAAATATATCTCTTATTGACTTTAGAGAGAGAGAGGAAGAGAGAGAGAGAAACATCAATGAGAGTCATCCATTGGCCGCCTCCTGCACGCCCCCTGCCGGGGATCGAGCGGAAACCTGGGCCTGTGCCCTGACCAGGAATCGAACTGCGATGACCTGGATCCTAGACTGATGCTCAACCGCTGAGCGACGCCCGGCTGGGCTCATTTCATTTTCTTAAAAGAATCTATTATACCTTAAAGTTCACTTGCTTATTATCAGTTAACCTCCGCTAGAATACATGCTCCCAGAGGTCGAGAGCCCTGTCTGCCGTGCTCACCGCTGTGTCCCCAGAGCCTACAGCAGCGCGTAGCTCAGAGCAGAGACTCCACAAGTACTCGCGGAGGGAATGATAGGCACAGTTTTTGTTGTTTTTTTTAGGCAACGATTTTCATGTTACTGTACAGGCTTATGTAATATTTGGGACACAATTACACTAAAACATTATTTGTTGTTTACCTGAAATTTAAATTTACCTGAGCGACCTGTATCTTTTCTGGCAGCCGCACGCCGGGAACTCACTGGGCAGTACCTGGAGACCTTCTGATGGTCACGCCTGGCCGGGGCGGGGTCGTGGAGGACGGGGCGCTGCTGAGCACCCTGCAGTGCAAAGGCCGGTCCCACAGGCTAAGAATCATCGGGGCCAAAACGTGGATGGTGTGGAAGCAGAGAAACGCTGACCCAGACGGCCACGAATGACCGTCAGGGGCCGCTAGCGGGCGGACGGCACCTAGAATTCCGGAAAGGCAGCCGGGAGCCGGCGGGAGGCAGGCGTCGGGGGCTGGGACCAGGCTGGCAAACCTTTCGCGCTCCTGTCCACGCCGGTGACCGGAGGGTGAGGGAGCCACGCCGCCGCGGCAGCGGGTGAAATCCTGACGCGGCGAAGGCCGCGCGCGAACAGCCTGGGGACTGCGCGCTCCGCACGCACCCGCTCCGGCGCCTTTACGCGGGGCGGCGACCGGCGTCCCGCCCTGGG